CTGCTGGTAGAGAGTTATCTGTGTTAGGGGATGGCCGAGGAGCAAAGTTCTGTGTCTGGAGATGCTAATCTCTAAAAGTCAAAGAAACAGGTCTGAAAACAGAGAAGAATGGCAGGGAATTCAGCACATTATAAATGTCCCTTCCTTGACATCTTCTGGAGATAACAAGAATTCCTGACACCCAGCCCCCCACCAAAAGGCTTCTCATTACATCATTCATTCCTATTCTTCATTCCATTCAAATGGATCCTGGCTCCAAACAGTCACATATTAGAACCTGTCCATCCACACATGGAGAACACTGTTGAGGTGCCCCCAGACAGTATAAGGAGGTACAAGGGAACGCCAATAAGCAGACCTGAGTTCTAATCCAAATGCACCCCCAAACTTCCCGATTAGTGGGCTCAAGATGAGAGAAGCCAGCCTGTCAAGGAGCAATGATCCCTCACCCTGACCTTCCAAGTTTGGGTAACTCTGGCCTTAAGGTGACCTGAAGTATCCCCAGTGGAGGCTCCCTCCTTTAGCCCTCTTCCCAACACAGCTTTGGGGCTACTTAAGACTCATTTCTCCTAGTCAGAGTAGAAGAAAAAAGCACTTGAACCCCCCACCCATCCACTTACGCACATGCTTCTCCCAGCTTTGAGCTGGAATCGCTTTCTTGGAGTAGCATTTCCAAAACTCTGGTTAGCCTTGCAGTTCTACCATCTCATTGATAAGCATGTCCATCTCCCAGAAGGGACCTCATCATCTCTGAGAACAGCCCATGGTAAAGCAGAAATTTTATTCAAGTTACAACTTGAAAAGAAAAAAGAAAAGAAATAAGGAAGGAAGGAATTTGTTCATAGTAACAGCTGTCATTGAGTTAGTACCTATTATGTGTCAGGCATCATATTCGAAGTTATGCACATCTGATCTGATTTAATCATCACAAGACCTCACAATAATAACTAATATTATAATTTTCAGAGGAGCAAACTGTGGATACAAAAAAATTGAATAACATGTTCAAAGTTAGAAAATCAGAACCCAAACTTTAATCCACATCTACTCGACTCTCTCAAGAGTGTATGTATTTCACTAGCTGCCCTGCTGCCCTACCTAATTCTCCTTGCAGCCTAGGGAGGCGGAGATTCTTATCATCATGCTCCAGGACAGATGAAGGACAGAACCTCAGTAAAGCTGATGATGTTACATCCACAGAAGTGGAAAGGAGGATGCCCTCTTCTTATTCATTTACTCAAATGATGCTGAGTTGAAGAGCAGAAGCCCTGATAAAAGAGAGAAATGCAAACTGAGCCTGTAATGCTCACTAGCTGGTTCACCCTGGCCTGTTACCTCTTTTACCTTCAATCCTTTACAATGGGGATGTTGAAAATAAGTATCTACTCTTGGGCTCTTGTGAGCATCAAGCAAGGTAAAGCAGGTGAAGCATTAAGCACCTGAGAGCTATCATTACTCAAGGTTCCTTTGCCTCTGCTTCAGAGGTTCAGATTTCATCTAGATGTTTGACATGTTATCCTGATTAATTATGCAGACCCATGATTCTGTACCTGGCTGGTGTCAGGATTACATGTCTGTCATGCAAATGCTTGGACCTTGGCCCAGAGATTTTTATTCAGACGGACTAGGGTAGAGCCTGGGCCTTTTCATCTTTACTACATTTCTAAGTAATTCTGGTGCACAGCCAGGTTTTGGGGGACCAATTCCATCATAGACATCTCAGCCACAGTGGGGAAGGAACTCTGGCTGCTTTTCTCTCCTCATCCCTTTTCCGCTTTCTTGTCACCACCAGCAACTTTTCTCCCAGGTCCTCTGCACTGGCTTGTGAGAGCTTTCTCCAGATCCAGGACTCTGTGGCCTGGCAGTGATTCAGCTGCAGTCAGAATCCTGGGGAGCCTGCTTTTCCAAAGCCTGGGAACCTAGGAGGGGCTGGGAAACAGGATGCCAGGGGTTCTGCTCTAGATTTGTCCTCTTTTGACTCACTGGTGGCCAAGGAGCAGTCAGTCTCCAGCACTCAGCTGGCTCCTTGTCACAAGACAGTCAAAGAGGCAGAATTATTAATTTGAACTCTGCTTCCTTAGGATTGTGTCTCTGGCACTTTAACACCATAGTGGATGAGGTAGACCTTGGCAGAAAGAAAGAAGGTTTAGAAGAATCTTGCATAACTGTGGTTTTCCATTGACATCTCATTTGGGCAATAAAACCCAGTGTCTACCTTGGTATCTAACATCTTCTATTCTCCGTCCTAGCCTCTGTTCCAATGTCATCTCCTATTCCTCCCTTTCTGCCCTTCTTGCTGTTTCTTGAACACTCCACGATTGTTTCCACCTCAGAGTCTATGTGCAATTTGCACAGCTTGGAGTGCTTTTGTCACGGAAGATACAAGTCTGGTTCCTTCTTATTCAGACCTCAGCTTCATGCCCCAGCTCAGAGAAGGCTTTGCTAATCCATCATCAAATCTAAGAAGTCATCCTGGGCACTGGAACACATCATACCATAGCACACACATCACTTTAACTTTCATCTTAGCACTAATCACTACAGAATATATTTTTCCTTGTTTGTTTACTTAATGAGTTGCTTGTTGCCTATAGAATGTAAGCTCTGTGAAAGCAGGTTCTCAGCAGTTTTATTTTCTGCTGTGTTCCCAATTCCTGGAAAGTGTTCAGTGATTGTAGAATGAATTAATGAGGTTGCCCAGCATGAATTGTGATGATTTGTGTGTGTGTGTGTGTGTGTGTGTGTGTAAACATCTAAGATTCTGAGAAGGGAAGTGACTACCCCAAATTCAATTCAGTCATTTCATCTTTTTTTCCAGGCGCTTCCTATAAAATCTGGCTGACACACAAACTTAGCTGGGGTGAGGCTTCCAGGTGTGATGAAAACTTGGAGTTGCCCCACGAACGAGGCTGAATCTGATGTGGGGGTGAGAAGGCGGAAGGACAGAGCATGCCAAGGGAGAGGCAGGCTGGGACAGGAGAGCAGGGTGTGAACAGCGGGTGGGGGGGAAAGGGGTGATTTGGCTATGTGTCAGGAAGTGTTTCCCTCCACCCTCCCCTGGGGAGAGCCCTGACCCCTAGGTGGCTCTGTTTGGGGGAAGCAGGTGGTCAGGCAGCTACTGAGGGAAGATGAAGGTGTGGCCTGGGCGGTCACCATCTGTTGAGGTCCTAGGCTCGTACTGATCACCCAAAGGAATAATCCCACAGTGGCTCTTGGCCAAATAGGTGATAAGTGAGCTTCCACCTAAAACCTGCTCAACTATAACTTGAAGCCTCAGAGCTGTCCTAGGAACCAGCAAAGGGCCTGGGAAGGGAGAGAAAATGACCACTGAAGATATAGTGTTGTCAAAGTTGAATGCTTAGTGATAACAACAACAATAATAATAATAGTTTCTATTTATTGAGAGCTTATAATTTACCTGGCACTGTACTAACTGCTTTATATGTGTTCCCTCATTGGATCCTCAAAAGGCTCTCTACAAATAGGCTGTACTATTATTGATGTTATTCCCATTCAAGAGATGTGGAAACTGAGGCTCAGTCAGGTAGGTATCTTGTCCAAGGTCATACGTGTAAATAGCATAGGCAAGATTCAAACCCAAGTCTGTAATGATTCCAGTGTACTATGAAAACCTAGGCCTGGAGAGGGTTGCTGGGGCAAGTTAAGAGGATAGAGCCAGACTGACCCCTGCAAAGGTGGGGGTGGGGAAGGAGAGTGGGGTAGACGGTGTATAAATAGAAGGCCTGTTTTTATCCCTACACACGCTCAATCAGGCAAGTGCTCTATCTGGCACAATTTAAGGGCTCTGAATGCCAACCCAGCCCTGTGTCAACCAACTCCCTTCCCAGCACGTCTCTGGGAGCTGAAATACCTACTGAGAGAGTCATTTCTTTGGGTCAAGACATTGACTCCACAAGACCCCTGTAAAAATACATGGGTTAGAAGAGAAACATCAATCTCTTGGCACCTGTTGAACATAGCAGTCTAGGTTAGCCAGCTGGGTGCTATGAGAAGGAGGCTTGTTTTCGTTGTTGTTTTGGGGGAAGGAAAAGGCAAGGAAAAGTATAAGGTTTTGTTTTGTAATCTGTCTCTCTCTGATTCCAGAAGCCTGGGAAATATAATCCAAAATTCAAAAATCCTAAACTAGACTATCCCCTGGGGAAAAAGCTGGGGGGAAGCAGGGGTGGGGATGAGGGAGGGGAGAGCCACTCCTGCGTCTGGAAGACCAACTTCCTTTGCTTTTGCTGGATTGACACCAAGTGCCCGCAACTTTAACTAGGTGGCCACTTGGCTCATGAGACCTGCGGGTCTCATATTATACCTAAAATATACCTAATTTTTAAATGATGAATGAATTGTTATTTACTATTTGCCAAAAAAAAAAAAGAAAAGTGGGCTTTTGAAACGCAGAAGGTGATACAGGTGGAGACCTCTGATAGGGGCAGGGAAGGCCCAAAGAACCAGGCCCAGACAGCTCTCAATTCAACAGTCACAAGGCTGAAGAGCGCCAGGCGGATGAGGAAAGGTAGGAACTGGTCCCTGCCACCTGCCGGTCAGCAGCCCTACCCACAGGCCCTGGTTGCCCTGGCCTGGTCCCAAAAAATGTGAGAGCCGCCGGGTCCCCCCGCCCCCTTCCCCGCCGAGACCGCAGGGTTGGGGGCTGCTCTGCCGGCGCCTCCAGCCGGGCGCGCTTCCCGGCGCGGGAGGGGAGAGGGAGGGGGCGGCGCCGGGCGGGGCGGAGCTCCGGCGCCTCCGGGAGCCTTATTCCCGGCCGCGCGCTGGGAGCGCTCAGTCTGCCCCGGGAGCTGCACGCAGCACGCGGCTCGTCGGCCTGACAGAGGTGCAGGGGCTCAAGCGGACAGCGGACTGACTGTGAGCAGACAGTTGCTCAGCGGCTGCGTGCTGTGCGCGGGTCCCAGCTAGGCTTGCACCAGAGGCGGGCAGCACACGGTGCCCGGGGGAATCTCCTGCGCTCCGCCGCCTGGCTCCGGTGCCGCTGCCCGGTGGCCGCCGCCTCCAAAGTGATTGCTGCCTTGCTGTTCCCACCGGGTTCGGGACCATGAAGCTGCTGCCGTCGGTAGTGCTGAAGATCTTTCTGGCTGCAGGTAAGAAGACTGCTAACGCCCCCGGAGATCGGGGGGATGGGGACGCTGTGCTGGGGGCACAGGGGAAGGTCGCTGCAGCGCCCCCGAAGCGGGCCACTTGGTGGGGCCCGTGCGCCCTAGCGGGCGGGCGTTGATATCGGTGCATGGTGGCTCGGGGTCTAGGTGGGGGTCTGATGCGGCCTCGCCCCTCGCTCGCAGTGTTCTCGGCGTTAGTGACTGGCGAAAGCCTGGAGCGGCTTCGGAGAGGGCTGGCGGCTGGAACCAGCAACCTGGACCCTCCCACTGGATCTACGGAGCAGCTGCTACCCACGGGAGGCGATCGTGCCCGAGAAGTCCTGGACTTGGAAGAGACAGATCTGGACCTTTTCAAAGGTGGGTGTGAGGGCCGCCCAACCTTGGACCCCCGTGGGCAGTTGAAGAATAAGAGGTTCTGAGATTCATGCTGTTGAGTATTCCTGTGGGTTGAGGGTTATTCATGGAGGACCCCAAGGAAAAGCTGATGGCCTAAGAGAGGATTGGTGGTCCTGGAAATAGGTCTTGCTGCCTGTCATTTCTTACTTTGAATCTCACCTGTCTGGGTTGCTGCCCTTCTGGATACTTTGGGGCTAATTGAACAGGCAGGTTGTCCTCTGAGATAAGTTGAGTGGTAGGAAAAAGGCATTCTTGAGATGCTTTCCCCAGAGTTCCCATGTGAAAAAGGGCACAAATCCTCCTTCCCACATCTGGTGACTATTGTGTGTAAAATAGAGATAACAGCCAGGTGTTATGGGCCATGCCTATAATCCCCACCACTCAGGAGGCTGAGGCAAGAAAATCGCAAGTCAGCCTCATTTATTTAGAGAGATCCTGTCTCAAAAAAATAAAAAGGACTGGAGATGTAGCTCAATGGTAAAGAGCCCCTGGGTTCAATCCCAAGGGGGTGGGGGGGGGGGGGGGGGGGGAGAGAGAGAGAGAGAGAACAAATGTGGAGATATCTAGGCACATATCAAGTTTGCAGTATTACTCTTCCCCACACACCTGTCTCCAGGTTGAGGAAACAGGGGAATGGAGTACTCTTTGCCTCTCTGGGTGAGGCCAGCACCTTTGGGGAAGGTTATGAATGGTGAGCCCTGGAGTCTTAGGAGGCTATATTGAAATGCTGGGTGACTACGAGTGCTATCAAACCTTGGAGATTTCCTAACCACCTTGAATTCCTGAGTAGACTCCAAAAGGGGAAGGACCACATGTGTACTGAGCTGAACACAGGCATAGGGCAGAGTCCAGAGCCTACTGGCTTCCCTGTCCCTGGCCACCTGCAGTGATTTGTGGGGGTGGAGCAAGGACTAAGCCCTGTGGCCCCAGAATGACTATATTTGGTTGAAAAGATACCCACCTGATGTAGCCCCACCTACCGTTTAGTTGTTCTTCTCCTTCCTCACCCAGAGTTTCCCTTGGGGAACTCTATCCTTTTTATAAATCGGGAGTCTGCTCCAAAGCTGAGCCTGGGCTCCTACACTTCATCCTCTCTCACTGACATTCTGGGGTCACCCATTGCCTGATCAGCCTGGATTCTCCTGGCTCTCTTAGGCTGGGCAGGGCTGGGCTGGGCTGTGACTCACCTCCCACCCACATGGCTGCTCCTCATACCTCTGCAGACCTGACTCACTGCTCCCTGTCCTCAGCAGGAGCCTGGCTGTCACCCTGCCATTCTCTCCCTCTCCTTTCTGATTGACATGGCCCTCCTGACTTGCTTTCCCTACAGACCTGGTCACTGGGTTCCTCTGACCACCTGCCTCATCTTCTGAGTTCTGAATGGCCCTGGGACTGGACCAGAGATCACAATTCTAATCCCAATCCTGCATGATCTTGGGCAAGTCACTGCTGTTTGAGATCTCAAGGTTTTCATCTTAAAAATGGAAAGCCATGATATTCATTGAAGTCATTTCCAGCTTGAGGATTTTAGGTGTGCAGTTTAATGTATTATGCCTACCTTTCTGCCAGACACAGACTATAGCTATGGACAGTAGACATCTTTTTCCTACTGGGAACAGGGGTCAGAAAAAAGCTGGCATCAGACCCCTGGGCTAGTTTTGGGAGTAGCCCATGGCCAATTCTAGCTGGATGTCTGGGTGAGGTCATTTTTCCCCTAGTCCTCAAAGCCTGGAAAGAAGGGGGGAATTGTCATTGTTCCAGTCCCTTCTGGATAATTCCTTACTTTTCATCTCTCCACCCCTTGTACACATTGTACCCACCATCCCATAGCACTATAGACGGGACATTTGGGGATAAATGTAAATAGATCTTTGGGAAAGTGGGTAAATTATAAAGAATATTCAAAAGGGTAAATATTTTGCTCGAAGCAAGGCCCTTTACCAGGGATGACTTGTTTGCTGTTCTCAAACCAAGATCTATCCCGAGCTCATGGTTGTCTCATACTATTAGGAACTCCAAAGGGGGTTACCTGAAGACATACACATTTTTCTTATTAGGACCTCCCACCCCTAAAGCATCAAAGTATTCAAAAGCGATTTTTTGTCTGTGACACTCTCTTCCTGCGAGTGGGTCACTGAGTGTAGCAATAAGGAAGTGAAGCTGATTGAAGGCCAAAGAGAGTGAAATAGGTGTCAGGAAGTCAAAGATGGGAGTGGAAGGTGGACAGTGGTGTGGGTGAAGTTGGTAGTATCGCCCAGTGAACTGCAGTTACTAGAGGATCTAGCATTCCTTGGAATATACTGTACCCTCTACTTTGTCCTGAGGTTCCCTCTTTCTGGTGGTTCTACCCAGTCTTCCTTCAGCCCTTGGGAGGCACTGAGCCCAGAGTCCTTCCCAGGCCTCTGACTCCAGATGGGATCAAAGAGAATGTATTCCTTCCAAATGTGGTGCTGTTCTGATCTTCCCTGGAAGAATCAAAGGCTTAATAGGGTGCCTTTCTCCTACAGTTGCTTTCTCCTCCAAGCCACAAGCTCTGGCCACACCAAGCAAAGAGGAGCATGGGAAAAAAAAGAAGAAAGGCAAGGGGTTAGGGAAGAAGAGAGACCCGTGTCTTCGGAAGTACAAGGACTTCTGCATACATGGAGAATGCAAATATTTAAAGGAACTTCGGGCTCCATCGTGCATGTAAGTGTCCCTTCAGTAGGTAAAATCCTGTCAGCCACGTGGCTATTCCTCGTTGTCACTGTTCCTTGAATTCATAATTTCACACAGTTTCTTTTCAACCTCTGGGCGGAAGTTGGGAGGAAGGGAAATATTTTTAGTCAGCGGAAGTCACCCCCCCACCACTACCAAAGAGGATGCAATTTCCTGTGGTGTGGTTTTGTGACGCTCTTGAATCCTTGGGGACATTTCCTGCTTGCCCAGAAATGAGCATGTGGCTAAGAGAACTGGCACCTGGAAGCAGGTTCTTCATTCCTGCCTCATGCCCTACTCTAGAAGTGAGAAGCCAGTAGGAAACACGGCAGAGCAGGTTCCTGGGTGGAGTGGGGCTCCTGCAGGCAGGTATGAGGTGCATTTGGTCACATGCTGTGTCTCAGGTTTGTGTGCACGTGAATGAGCAAATGTGGGTTGATTTTAAGGCATGGCAGGACAATACAGACAGGAGTCGTCATGGGGGAGTTGAAGCTCCTCCTCCCTTCTTTCTCACACCAGTAAGGAACAGGAGGTAGGGGACATGGAAAGTATTGACCTTAGGCCACAGTGGTGGGAGAACTCTTCCTTTGTGCAGGATTAACAGGAAATGGAACCCAACCCAGCAGGCATCCAGCCTCTAGTCTGGCAGCATCGTGGGTGGAGAGGCCATGAGTTCCTTAGGTTCTCTGAAACCAAACCCAGCAAGTCACTGTTTTGGCAACCCCTCAGGATGACAACACTACCACGCTCTCTGGCAGGCATAATGTTGCCACTGTGCCTGAGGCCTGCACCCTATGTTAGGCTGCAAATATCTACTCTTTTGCCCGTGAAGAGGCAGTCTCTGGGGGTCTTATGACCGGGAGATGCTGAACAGGCCAGAACACTGTTGTATGTATGCCTTCTCCCATTTTATCAAGAAGGCTGACTACCTGTTGTCTCTTCTACCCGTAATTGATCCCTTAACTTTTAAAAGCTTCCTTGTCCTATCTGATCACATATAGCAGAGGTGCCCCATATTTGGCAGTTAACATACAGACCCATCATTTCCCACCATGTCCACAGTCACTGTGTCCTTTCCTATAACATCCTTATAAGGAGCTTTTATTGGGGAGGAGTGTTTAAGAGTGGCATAGAGAGTCACCATATTATCCTTCCCATTGTCTCAGGACAGACAGGAAATGTTTTTTTAAATTTGTAAAACGGCATCATTGGCACAGAGTGGAGATGGTGCATCTGAGGGTAGTCAAGATGCACTGAGGCCAGGAATCTGTTTGGGCAAAATTGGTCCAGGGCTTTTTGGTGGATAGATGTGGAGCTTAGATAGAAGCTCAGCTGAGAATTCTTATAAGACTGCTTCCCTGGAGAGTAGGGCTCAACTGACCACCTAAGCTCAGAAAACTGATAAGTGTGCCCAGGGCCAACTTCCCTTTGGCTTAGGGATAGTGATGACAGTCATAATGACGCCATCTTTCCTTTATCCCAGATCTTCAGTAATTACATATGAGTTAAGCCTAACAGGTGTGTTGAGCACCTACTTGGTACCAGGCACCATCCTAGGGGATAGGGAGATGTAGTCTTCCTGGATTTTCAAAAACTCTCTGCAGGTAAGGCAGGACTTGTTATCAACTTGAAAAATGAGGAAACTGTAGCCAGTAAGTCAGAAGTCATTTGCATGAGAGCAATAGTTAAAAAAGTGGATGGAAACAGGACAGGGTCTCGGGTGCCTCATTCCTAGTACAGCATGCTTTTCATGCCCCCAGGCTGCATCCTTCTTTTCTACTACCTTTGTCCTGGCAGAGTTTGAGCAGGGTTTTATAGAGGGCAGCTGTTGTCTTAGAGGACTCTTAGGCTTTTGCTAGTCTAAGAGCATAGTAATTTGACTTGAAGACTTTATGTCAGTTTCCTGGGCAGATTTTCATGGGGTGGATTCTGTGTCCAGTGTGGCTGCCTCTTGTCTTCATCCCTTGGTACTCAGGATAGCAGGATGCAGTAAGAAGACACAGACTTTATGGTTTGGGGCAATGCAACATTGCGCATTTACATTTGTGGCTTCTCCTCAGCTCCAGACCCAGGAACCACCATCCAGGGTGTGTCCAGGCTGCCATGGTGAGCTGCAGGCTAGCTGGCTTCCTAAACCAGCCCTCTGCAGCCACCACGAACAGGAAAACCCTTCTGTGTCACCAGCCAAAAGTTGCCCTCAAAGAGTAGTTTCCTGGGGCTCCTGACTGGCTGCTGACCCAAAAATTGGCTGCAGAGTTTCCTGTGGCTGGAGGAAATCTGAGAGTGGTTGGACTAGGGAGGACTCTGAGCTGGAAGAGAGGTAGGCCTGGGGCCTTTGCTTATCCACACACACACATCTTGGCCCAGATGCTGCGAAGGAATGAAGGAATGGTGAACCCCCTTCTCTTGGCTGTGTCTGACTTGGGTGCCCTCTTCTACCAGATATGGGCAGTACCCTCTACAGTCCAATTTTGTAATAACGCACACATATTTGGGGCCTGGCTTTTTATTAAGTGTTCTTACCCATATTATTTCCTTTTATTTTTTTCACAATGTTCTAGTGAGGTGGGCATTTATTATTCAAAGCTTGGAAAGGTAATGTGACTTTATCAAGATCACCTGGCTAGAAATGGTAGCAGAACTAGTCTGGAACTCACGTATTCTAAGTCTCCTCCATCAAAAGGTATCCCTTCTACCTCTTCAGGTAGAGAAATCCAATGTGAATGATGTCTTTGACCCTAGACCATTCTTGATTTTGCTCTAATGCAGGTTCTGAAATGGGTCACAGACATGGGGAGGAGGAACATGTTCTATTTTCATGGGCACAGGTTCTGGGTAGGACATTCGATCTTGCCCCCACCCTAGGATGCTGGAATGTACTCAACCCCCTCCTTCCCTAGTAGATTCCTAGTAGTTGGCTGCAAAGGGAGGGGGAGGTGGGTAATATTAGGATGTTTACATTATTATCCTTTTGACTCAGGGTGGAGGTGGAAGGATTATGTAACTGAATTGCGGGACTCTGAGGCCAAGCTTTATTTCTATCATCTGAGTAACTACCTGTGGGGTTTGGATGATGGACTGGAAGTACAAAACAGACTCAAGTTCAGTCCCCACCCCCTACAGAATATAATCTCTATGGTCATCTAGACTGCTGGATTGAATCCATTCACTATTTAATAGTTATTTAATAGAAGTTATGCCTCAGTTCCTTCATCTTTAACATAGGGAGAGTAACTCTCATTTCACAGAGGTGGTTTTAAAATTAAATGAGGGCTGGGGATATGGCTCAGTAATAGAGTGTCTAGCACACATGAGGTCTCATAGTAAGGCTTTAATAGTTTACTATTTATTATTAAAGCTATGAATAAAAAATAATAATAACAGGAGCAGGGTCAGACAGCCCCAGGGACTTTTCAGATATCTATTTCCTTAGGATTACTTGCATTGTTGAGTGGAAACAATCAATCAGGTGTGGTGGTGCACACCTATAATCCCAGCTGAAGCTGAGGCAAGAGGATGTCAGGTTCCAGGCCAGCCTTAGCAACTTAGTGAGACTCTTTCTCAAAATTAAAAATAAATTAAAAGGACTGGGAAAGAAGTTCAGTGGAAAAGTGCCCCGGGTTCTGTCCTCAGCACATTTTTTGGGGGGTTCAGTCCCCCCCCCCCCCGCCCCACAAAATGAAGAGAATCATGAATTTGGGATTTGCTAAGAGTGATTTTTGACTTGGCTCTGTGTTTCCTAGTTGTGAGATTTGGCAAATCACTTAACCTCTCTGCCTGCTAATTCCTGCATACAGGTGATTTTCCAGGGACACCCTTGGAAACTTTTTCCATGTCTTGGTAGTTTGGGGGTCATTGAGTTTTGTTTTTTTTTTGTTTGTTTGTTTGTTTCTGTTTTTGTTTTTTCCTAGCTAGGCTAATGGGATAGAGGCATGGAGAAGCCAGGCAAGCCACTGTGTACTGTTCTGTTAGGATGGTTGTCCTGATCTACATTTTCCCTACAGTGAGGTGGTTCCTTAGAGCATCCAGGAGGAGCTAGGGCAGAGAGCAGGGAAGGACAGGAAGGCAGGGTCAGGGATGTAGCACAACCCAGCCTGGCCCCTCTGCCACTGCCAGAGACAGTGATACTCAGGACAGAAAGCAGCAAGAAGACACAGAGCTCCTGGTTTGGGGTGATGAGACATTTATGCTCCTACATCTGAGGCCCTCTGTGGCCTCCTCTTTGCCTCAGATCTGCTTCTTGAATCTTCCCTGGTGACTTGTCAGCAGGAAGAAGGGCTTCCTCACTCTGAAGCACCAAATACACTCCTTCCTTCCCAGAGAAGGTACAGCTTAGAAGAGGAGGCCTCCAGCTTCTCAGTGCTTCCTTCAGCAGCTAGTGGCTTAATGTCCCTGGGCTATTAGTGCCATTGCACCCCCTGACTAGCAGGTGGGCAACTGTGGGGTATGAGTGGACGGCATGCTGAGCTCAGACAATTCACATCCATGCTTCTATCCTATTGTGAGCTCGGAAAGCCACTAAACCTTTCTGTAGAGTGGGGCTCCCACCTACATCAAAGGACCTCTGGGGTGTTCAGATAAAGGAAGGGATGTGAATGTGCTTCGTTAACTCTGAGCACTTCCAAGTCTTCCTAAAAGCTTCAAGGAAATGCTTTGTGTTATAAGAGGCAGTTGCCACATGATTTATTTCTTGAGTGAGTAGAGCCAAGGAATTGTTTCTGACATTCTTTTATGCTCTGGCAGGGCAGCTGGGCAGGAAGATGTTATCTTGGTTTGTTTGCTTTGTCCTGTGATGGAGGAGGCCTGAAAGCCTAGCATTCAGAGGCCAAAGGCTCCTAGGTTGTGCCCTGCACCCAGGGGGAGCTGAGAGTTAAATGAAGAAAGGGAGAAAAATGACTCCTGGCAAAGGAATAGGCCTATTAATAGGCTGGGCAGTGGTGGGGAGGGACTGGATGCTGGAAGCATTGATGGGCAAGGCTGGGTTTATTTCTGGGTCAGAATGTTGAGGGGCCTCGCTGAGGGAGTGATACTGAATCCCCTCAACTCAGCCCATGAGCTGTTGCGCCCAAGTCCTCTTAAGTGGCCTGAGCACACATGTAATAAATCTGCCACACGTGGAATACATCTAAACTGAGAACTTCAAATCCTCACTTCTTCCTGCCTGGACAGGACTCTAGGTCAGAGAACCAGAGGGATTGGTGAAGATAAGGTGCCATATGGGGGAAATGCTATTAAACATTCAGAGGAGATTTTCCAGAATATTCTACTAAAGGAGCAGTATAGAAAAAGGGCAGATGGGCTGGGGTTGTGGCTCAGTGGTAGAGCACTCGCCTAGCATGTGTGAGGCCCTGGGTTTGATCCTCAGCACCACATAAAAATAAATAAATTAAATAAAGGTATTGTGTCCAATTACAACTAAAAAAAATATTAAAAAAGAAAAGAAAAAGGGCAGAGCTCATGGGCAAGGATTGACAGGCTAAGGGTGAGAGGAATGGGGTTTGGCTTAGGTAGTTAGGCCATTGCAGGGACGGAGAGAAAAGAGAGAGGAGACAAATCACTAACCCCATCTCCTTGTTCTTTCCTAAACCAGCTGTCACCCAGGCTACCATGGAGAACGGTGCCATGGGCTGAGCCTCCCGGTGGAGAATCGCTTGTATACATATGATCACACTACTATTCTGGCCGTGGTGGCGGTGGTGCTGTCGTCTGTCTGTCTGCTTGTCATTGTGGGACTTCTCATGTTTAGGTGAGTGATGGGGGGCCCTGTTTCTGTAAATCACTTCTTCTCTTCCTCTTATTGGACCTTCTAACTGATGATCACATGAACCCTGTTCTCATGCCCACAGATCCTGGGATAGTTCCTGGGTGCAGGTTCTCCAAAAAAATCTCTTGTCTCAGGCTTGATATAAGCCAGTGCCCAGACCAGGGTAACACTTACCAGGCCATGGCAGGTTCTATACCTCAAAGGAGTTTGTTTCCTACCTCTGTGGCCTAGTAACTCACCCATAGAGCTACCTCTTCACGTATTTCTTTGTCTTATCTCTGTTCTTTGATGACATTGGTATGTGGTTTGGTAGTAAGAGTACAGGTGGAACTATTAGTCTGTCCTTGCAATTTTGAGGTACGTGGACCTTGGGCCAAAACATTAATCCAGATATGTTGTAGGTTGGGGGAGACCTGCCGCGCACACTCTGCCTGTTTTCAAGCAGTGCGACTTATCCATAGTGAGACTTGGAATGTTACCTGTCTTTCTGAGGATTGTAGTCTTTTAGTGGTTGTACACTGTCTACCTGCCTATAAGGCTGTTATGAGGTTCAAACAAGTGAAGTGAAAACTGTTTGTAAAATGTAGCCTGCTGTTAAAGACAGGCATCCTCAGGACAGCTGGGCTTTGACCAGAGTTGTGTGGGGCTGCCACACCCTTTGGGCTTTTCTAAATAATGGAAGGAGCCTCCGTGGCAGAGTTGTTTGGAAGGACCTGCTCTTTGTCATAGCAGGCAAAGCTTGCTCACAAATATTCTCTTCCTCAGGTACCACAGGAGAGGAGGTTATGATGTAGAAAATGAAGAGAAAGTGAAGTTGGGCATGACTAATTCCCACTGAGTGAGACCTGTGCTTAAGGTAATGGTTCATCCTTTGTCCCTGGCAGCATCAAGGAATTAAGGCATGTATGGGTCTTGGGTCCATTTCAATAAGTGTTGACTTCTCTTGACTAGGGGTTGGGGGACAGCCTAATGTAGAATCAGGGTCCCATTGCAGAATTGTTTTCAAAAAGACTGTTAGGATGAAAGTTATTAGAGACATACCCAAGAAATATACCTGAGCAAAAACAGTTTCTCCCACCCTTGGCACCTCTCTTCCTTCCCTTCCTAGATGATCTGCTGTACTTCTTAAGACTGAACCCAGGAGACTCCTAAGACCTCTTTAGATTGGAGCTGGCTTTAAATGTTTTTGCCTTGTGTTTTAGGAATCTGTGGGGGATGGCTCCCTCTGAGAAGACACAAATTCTCTGCAAACTCTGCAGAGGGAAAAGACTTCCCAACTAGCCGTGAAGACTTCTTTGTCCCCAGTTGCTATCTCTATTGGACCTCGCGCATCATTGCTTTGCCAAAATACCAGAGTCTTCAAGTGCCAAACAGAATATATCCAGTGGGATCTGGATCAGAAGAAAGTAAAAGTGATCAAAAGAAAAGCAAAAGCAAAGAAACTTCAGGCCCTTCTGATTCCCTTCCACCAAATCCACTTCCCCCATCAGTTTGTTTAGACACTTATTCTGGATTAAAATGCCAGTTAAATTCCATATGCTCCAGGATCTTTGACTGAAAAAGGAAGAAGGAGAGGAAGAAGGAAAGTTTTGTGGACTGGAAGAAAGCAATGAAGATTGAGAAGCCATGTACTCAAATAGCCACCAAGGGATCTGCTATTTGGACCCTCCAGCGCTGGATTTGATGAGCTAACTGTGAAATGCCACAAGCCCGAGAACTCTGAATTTTGGGACTTCTGCCCAGATGAAAAGATAACAACTATTTTTTTTTTGTTATTGTTTGTTTGTAAAATGCCTCTTAAATTATATATTTATTTTGTTCTATGTATGTTAATTTATTTAGTTTTTAACAACCTAACAATAATATTTCAAGTGCCTAGACTGTTACTTTGGCCATGTTCTGACCCTCTTTCTTGCATCCCCACCATCTGGCTCAATGCCACACTCCCGTAGCAAATCTGAGATGGTTCTGTGACCCATCTGTAGTAATTTATTGTCTGTCCACATTTCTGAAGATCTCCCAGTTTCACTGTGCCCCAGGGATGTTCTGTATGGTCGGGATGTAGGGGTTAACTCGGTCAGAGCCACTCTATGAGTTGGACTACAGTCTTGCCTAGGCAACTTTGTCTACCGTTTGTGTTTTTGCAAGCCCAAGGTGCTGATGTCAACGTGTAACAGAAAACAGTATTTCCCTGTGTTCTCTCCCTGCCACATCTCAGAAGAGATCAAGCATCCATGCCTACAGCTTTCCTGTACCCTCATCCCTAGCCCTGGACCTACAGAGCGGGGACCCACTCCCTTGTGTCAAGACATTTCTCTTACTCCTGCCATTCTTCTGGTGCTACTCCATGCAGGGGTCAGTGCAGCAGAGGACAGTATAGAGAAAGTATTAGCAAAGAAAAAGGCTGAGGAGGAACAGGGAACGTTGGAGTTGATTTTTCTTGGTAATTGATTACCTACCAATTACTATAGAGAAGGTTGGTGGTGGGGAAGGCTTTTGGGTAACCCCACCTATCTCACCAAAACTACAAAGGTATGCTGTATGGTCCCTTCTGGAAGTTTCTGGTGCCATTTCTGAACTGTTACAACCTGTATTTCCAAACATGGTTCATATTTATACTTTGCAATCCAAATAAAGATAATCCTTACTCTGTAGTCTGCTTGTTTTAACTGGGAACTAGTTTAACATAGGTATTTTTCTATTTTTTGCTGCCCTTTTGATTTAATACAGGGTCTTGCTAAGTTTGTGATCCTCTTGCCTCAGCTTCTTAAGTAGTTGAGATTATAGGTGTCTACCACCACATCCAGCTAACATTGCTTTATATTTCTCCATAACTCTAATCACTACTAACACATTTATTGTCCATCAGTTCTACTAGAATGTTGGCTGAGGATGTGGCTCAGTGGTAGAGTGCTCACCTAGCATGCATGAGCCCTGGGTTCAATCCCCAGCATCACATGCACACACACACACACACACACACACACACACAAAAGCCTGCTAGAATGTTAACTCCCAAAGAGTAGGAGTGCATATATTGTTTCAGTCTGATTCTTAAATAATATGACTGAGTTGTAGGCATTCAATCTTTGTTAGATGGATAAATGAATATAAGAAACAATTAAAATCCAATCCAAGGCCAGCAAATAGGTAGATGCAATCCAACACTGCTCTGAAATTGGTTAAGTTTAGAGAGGGGCTGCTATTGGAGAGGGTGAATTGGATGACAGGATGAAAGTGGAATTTGGGGCCCATCATGTGGCATGGTGTCCTGGTGGACTGAAAGCAAACAGATCCACTGGGAAGCCATTGGACAAAGGCCTCTGGACTGCCCCTTCTTAACTTCATCTTTTTCCCTTGGAGAGTTGTGACATTCTGAAGTGTCTCCAGGGGGCCACACAGAGATCTTAAACATACTTCGAATATCCTTTTAGAACTTTGGGTAGCAGTAACTACCAGAGCTGAACATATGACTTTATATCCAGCAATTCCACTCCTAGATATATATAAAAGAGAAACGAGTACATATGTTTACCAAAAAGACATGTAAAAGTGTCATGTTATCATAACTCACAATTACCAAAAACCAAAAAATTACCCAAATACCCATCAGTATTTGATGTGAAATGAATAAGTTGTGTAGATCTAGACAATGAAGTACTAAATAGCAATACAGATGAATCTCACAACATTGAAAGAAATAAGCCCAATAAAAATAAGGACTTCTGTATGATTCCATTTATATAAAACTTAAAAATAGGCAAAACTGAGGCTGAGGTTGTGGCTCAGTGGTAGAGTGCTTGCCTAACGTGTGAGGCACTGGGTTGGATTCTCAGCACCACATACAAATAAAAAAAGGTCCATTGACAACTAAAAACTATTAAAAAAAAAAAAAAAAGGCAAAACTAATCTATGGTGAAAGAAATCAGGAAGGAGCTCCCAGCTGGGATTGGTAATGACTGGAAGGAATCTCCAATGTTTTGATAGTTTTTCTGAGACTGGTGTTCACTTTGAGAAAATTCACCAAGTATAACTCATGCATTTTTCTGTACGAATTGTACTTCAATAAAAAGATTTTGAAAAACTTGGACAGGGAATTCTTTTGCTATTTCATTCTGTTTAGTTCTATAAAGAACCAACATCTGACTTTAGTAGTCAGAAAGAATAGTAAAGATGTCAGAAATAACTATGGAGAAGAGAGTTTCTTTGAACTCTCTGTGGGGCTCCCTTTCCTGCTTCCAAGCTTCTAGTCTCAAGCCCCTACATTTGGCTGGGCTTTTTCCAGCAAGCTTTGTTTCTCCAGCTAATGTTTCCTTAGGGCTTCCTGCCTTTCAGATGCTCTCTCCTACTGTCCCTGTTGCTGATGGAAGTTTCCTTGGAGGTCCTCTAGGCTTCTTATTGTTAATACAGTGGCCCTGAAGCCTCTGATCCTGCAGTCACTTCTCAAGATTGGATGCCAGAAGAAACAGACCCCTTAATTTTGCAAAACATTTATCTTTTCTTCATGGGCTCCCCTTTCAGCCTTCTTTGAGATACTTTCTCTTATAATGGTCATAATAATCACTACTAGGTTAATAAATATTTAACATTCACAGAGTGCTTACTACATATGGGCACTGGACTATATACTTCACAAGCAATATCTCATTTATAACTCACTTTGTCCTAGGAGGTAGGTGTTCTTGCTATACCTATGATGTAGGTAATTGAGGCTGAGAGGTGTTATGTCATATGAAAAAGATGTTAAGTGGTAAAGGCAGAATGTAAACCCAGAAAATCTAACCCCCAGGCTTGTACACTAACCACCAAGTTACACTCCTAAGTGAATTCTGGTCAGACTGGTTTTTTTCTTCTTCCCATATCCAAAAATAATATAGTAAAGAAATCATAAGAAAAAGATTTACTGAGTAACCCCTTTGAGCACAAGAATTTCTTCTCCTGCCCTTAATGTATAGATTCATAAAAGATGGTCTTAGCAGGGTGCAGCAGAAGGGAGAGGAATGCAGGCTGACCCAACTTGGGCCCAAGTCCAGGCTCCACTGTTTATTTGCGAAGTACCTTCACACATGATAGCTAGCCCCTCTAAACTGTCCCCCTGTTCATAAAATATACTAAAAAATCTACCTGGAAGATATTGTAAAAATAGTAAAACGTGAGTAAACTACTTAACTCAGGCACTTGCTAAGTGCTGAGTAAATGTTGGTTATCTGAATTGTCCAAGGAACTAATGAGTGGCACATCTGGGATTGAAACCCAGGCCTTTGATTGTCAGTTCACCATTCTTTCCTTAGAAGGAAACAATGCTTTTCAATCACTGTTTCACATTTTAATGTCAACTTCAGTTTCAAAGGAGCCCTAAAAAGTCTTAATAAGTATTTGTGGATTTAAGCAGCCATGGAACAACAAACTCTGTCCAAATATATCACTTCAAATCTGCTGGCCTGAAATTCTTCTCTTTGTCAACAATGCCTGAAATTCAAGCTTCCTCTTTGAGAATGCTAATACTCCTGGGAATAGCTATGTGTTAAGAGGCTGACATTTTTTGCTGGTGTAATTCATTTTAGCTTCATTCATTTAGCAAATATTTGTGGAGCCCTCCCTATCACCTTCCAAATGAGATCCCCATTCTGAAGGAGGAGAGTTGGGGGAGAAAAGAAGTCATTTGGGGGCAAGGATATTTATTTTTTTATTTAAAAACCAATTGGGTACTTAATTGTAAGGCATGGTGGTTTGAACCGTAATCCTAGCTACTGGAGAAACTGAGGCAGGAGGATTTCAAGTTCAAGGTCAGCTTGGGCAAATAGCAAGACCCTGTCTCAAAAATTAAAGGGGGGGGGGGGGAGAGAGAAAAGAAAAGGGTTGGGGAGGGGTTGCGGGTGTAGCTCAGTGCTAGATTTCTTGCCTAGCATGCATGAGGCCCTGGGTTTGATTTTTAGCACCACATAAAAACAAATAAACAAAATAAAAGTATTGTGTCCATCTACAACTTAAAAAAAAATTTTAAAAGGTTGGGGATATAGTTCAGAGAATCCCTAATATGGGGGGGAAGCACTTAAAATGTGCCAAGTACTATTCTTGTCACTGGAGAATCAGCCTCTTGTTCAATGAAAAACACTGATGCATGAACCAACAATACATGCATAAAGAAAGTAACAAACTTCAGAAATAAGTATACACACACACACACACACACACACACACACACATATATATATATACCAGTGATGTTCTGGCATCAGAGGGGTCAGTTATGTAGGTGGGACAGTTACATAGATGGTTCAGTTAGGTAACATCTGACCTAAAGCAAGCAGGGATCAGTCATGTGAAAGCCTGAGACAAAAACAAGCTTAGTATGCATGAGACAGAGAGGGGCTCCTGGAGCTACAGCATACTTACCAGAGCTTGAGAGGGAGCCAAGGACCAGATCACAAGGAGTCTTGTAAAACAATTTGGAAACCAATGGAGCACTCTGAGCAGGGGAGTTACATAATTTGCTATATGTTTCAGAAATATGACTCTACTAGGTAGAGAAGGAGTTCTAGGAAACAAAAGTTGAAGAAGCAAGACAATTAGGAGTCTATTGTATTGTAAGAAGGTGGCCAGGATTAGAGTGGTAGCAGAGGAGATGGTAAGGAATGGTCAGATTTGGGATGTATTCTAGAGAAATGAGCTCTAAGACATACTGATGGAATGAATGTGGTTGTGTGGA